AGGGATAAAAATGTTCCATTAATTCTGGGAACTAAGTAAAAACCAGTTTACCTTTGAGGGATGATCTATTAGTAAATTTAGACAGTTTCTTACTATGATTGAGGATTTCATAAAATATTAATTCCTGTGAAATTCTTCATAAAACATTTTGAGGTGTCATTCTTTGACAGCTTTATCCTGCAAAAGCAGGCATGCAGTCAGGTAGTGGAAAGGATTACACACATCAGCCACCACAGCAGCCAGGGACTATCCTTAGGGATCCAAAATTCCCTTCTGAAGGTCCCTGAGACGCCAGGTTTCAAGCTTCCAGGAAATTATGTTTTCCTCAAAGTCTACCTTGAGTGAAATCAAACTAAATTCAACTCTCTTTTTAGCCAAGTGGACACTCAGATGAGTAGTCATTCTTAAACCTGCTGCTAATGAGTTGTGTTTGTTTGCAGTGTCTGGACCTCACCTGGGAATAAGTGCCATAGCATTGGGAAACTGCTCTTATGGGGAGCCACAAATCCCTGTCTTGGGTTCAGTGAAAACATGTTGAAGATGAGGCACTCCAATGAAGCATTTCAGGTCAAATTTCTTCTCTACATTTTGTCTGATTCTGTTCCTGTGTTACATTTGTGTTTGAATTCTGAATCTAGTATAGCACAATGTTATTCTTTACTTGAATTCCACTTACATCATAGAATGGCTCGGGTTAGAAAGAACATTTATAGGTTACAGCATATGAAAACGAGACTCACAAGCTGAGAGCAAAATGAACCAGTTTATTGCAGAGTTAAGGCAGTATTTACACACAGAGTGAGAATCTTTGTTCAGTCCTTTGTACACAACTGGCTGCAGGCCTGTAATGAATCCATTGGCCTGACTGTTAGTTTCCTCAAGGTTTGCAGGCTTTGAAGAAAGAGGATGCCTTTCCTGCTCTCAGATAGCGTGTAATCTACTTTCTCTCATGCTTCCCAGGAATTTTCTGCAGTGCCAGGCTTTGCTATTTCTTTTCACTTCCCCCTTATCTTTTTAAAGGAGTAATAGTTAAGGCTAAGGTAACGATTACTTGTTTTTGTGTGCTTTTAACAGCTCTATTATTTTAAAAAGGACAAGACAGAAGATTAAAAACAATATTATTGCTAGACAACTCAGTCCAATGAAAACCCAAACTCATAAATTTATCCCAGAAAACCAATTTTTTTGATTTAGCCAAGAGAGATCGTTTTTCAGATCTGTCAACATTTTTGTTCCTGCAGAGTTTGTAAAGTTGTGAGTTGATCTTTTAATTGAGTGTGAAGTGGCTGTATATTCTGTTGTAAGGCCTTATCAAGGGCCCCTTGGAGGTGGTTTTTAACTGTCTCCTAATTGTGTTCCATGGCATTCCATGGAAGGGGAGTGACACATAAGGAATTATGGATATCTTCCCAATCACAGTGCAGGGATAGATGAGTTTTTTGGGCCTCAACTCTCTTGCCTACCCTCATAAGAGCACTTTCCAAGGCATCTAATATGGCTGTTATTTCTTTATCAATTTTCTTGTCTTTGTAACTGCTTTGTGATATTAGTTAATTTGTCCCACAGTATGAGAAGTTTGAATGGAATGAGTTAAGGCAGTGACAGCCACAGAGGCTGTGGTTAATATTATTGCAACACAAACAATAGCAAAGATTAACCAACCCAGAAATTTGCAAACTCATTTGGATTTCCTCTTGTACTAGTTGAGCCAATTGTGAGAGACCATCCTGTCCTTCCCAAGACCGAGTCAGATTTACAGGTACCCAAATTTTAAATCATCTTTTAAATAGAAGGACAGAATAGTTACACATATCTCCATAGATTATGCATGAGTTGAAAACAAAAGAATAGTTACACATATCTCCATAGATTATGCATGAGTTGAAAACAAAAGAATCAGCAGATAAAAAACCAAACCATTTCTATATTCTATCAAGAAATCATTAACTAAAGCAAAAACATACAGGTATGCAGTACAAGTCATTAGTAATTGTTCCTCTTGCAGTGTTGAAGTAGCAATTGTAGCATTCTTATCTAATTTTACTTGGTATATCCTATTGCCATAAGCAGGCAAGGACATTTTCCACAACTCTTTGCGCACACGGGACTGATTATTACCTCAATAATATTGAATTAATGATCTGGCTATCCCACCGCCATGCCAAACAATACTGTGGTTTGCCTTTTGGGATGGGGGAATGGTTGTATTGGTCCCATTGTCTTTCAAGATACCATGTGGTCCCCAATCAATTACCCTCCCATACTATAAGAACTGCTGTTGTGGCTGCTGTCCTGTGCATGATGTCCATTCCAAATGCCCTATATTGGAGATGGGTGTAAAATGACATTTGGGGAAATGAGGTGGAGGGCATCCACAGGTTAGTTGGAGGCAGACAGAATGGCTGGCGATGTAGTAGAAGTCAATTTTCTGGCATTGTCTGAGTGTGCATATATCAAATGCAATTGCACAGAAAAGTTAGCGCAAGGTAAAGGTCAAGAGGCATTTGTTTGATTCCATGTTACGCAGATAGGCGATAAATCAGTTACAAAAGTAATGTTAATACTCTATGTATCTACAATATCCTGACCCAGGGAAGGAAGCCAAGTTCCTCCTGCCCATTCTGTTCCATTGGTGCTGATGGGAGGCTCTGGATCCCACCAGGTCAGAGGCTGAAACAGAACAGCAGAGGTTAAATGATGTGGGTCCAGCAGATTGTCCCTTCTGCCATTTGATGGCAGCAGAGCAGTAGAAAGATAAAGAGGTTCATTGTTGTCATCCTTGGCTGGGTTTGATCTATCTTGCTGGAAGCCAGTACGGTCCTGAAGGTAAAGAATCACACCCACAGCCTCTTCCCCAGGCTCACAGTGGAATTGGACCTTTCCATTGATCACTGTGACATCCTTGTGTGTAACTTCTGAGCGAACTCCTTCTCAATCAGCAGTCTGACCCAGAAGCCTTTTATGTGCAGTTAAGTCATCTCTACTGGAGAGATTCAAAAAATTTAAAACATAGGTTGCTTTGTCAGGCTGCTCTTGAGGGAGCATGCCTATCAGATTCCCCCTGTTTTGTTTTTGTAGCATGTTTCTTCATGTGAAATGTGCCCTTTAGACTATTGCTTGCCCTCTTGGGGAATGGGTAATACCTGTGATGTGTTTGATACCCCAAGCATGGAAGAATTATTGTGTTTTAAGAGATGTATGGGGCCCATTGTCTGTTTTTATTTCTGTTGAAGGACACCCATTGTGCCGAAGGCATGGAGCCAATGTCAGGTGGCATCTCTTGATTTCTCACCCTTGTGTGCTGTTGCTACTATGAATCTGGAAAAGGTATCAATAGAAACATGGACATATTTAAAAGTCCCAAAGCTCAATATGTGTGTTACATCTGTTTGCCAAATGTCATTAGGTTTCAACCCTTGAATATTAGATTTGTACCTAATATTTCTGGCAAAGGAGGAGTCTGCTGACATTGTGAGCAACTATTTAGTACATCCTATGCCTGTGGCAAAGTTAAATCGAATTGTTTTGGCGGTGCTTGGGCATTTTGATGGTAAAAGTCATGAGAATGTTTTGCCTGCCCTAACTTTTGTGGTATAGTAACTGTCATTTACATAAAAGTAACTCTCTGAAAAAGATCTGTTGCTTTCTGCAAATGCTGAGGAGTGCTTAGACGTAGAATCAATGTGGTCTTGCACTTAGGGAAATTTGGCCTTTCTGCCTGGGATGGTTTTGGCTAAGGGTGTGTTCTTGCTGCCTTTTGTTTTTAAGAAACAAACGGGTTGTTATTTATTGCTGAGTGAAATGGCAAGCACTATTAATATTGTAGTGCTGACAAAGAAAGCCTTTTCCCAGTTTGCTGTTCATTTTTTCTCTTTCTGTGGAAATTCCTGTTCTTTCCATAAACAGATACAAACAGATTAAACATTTCCTGCAAAATATGACAGTGAGGACAAAGTAGCACTAGTAGAGTTATCTTGCTGATAAAAAGACATATTTTTTTGTATGTCTGCACTGTCAAAGCACAAAATTTCACTGAGACAAGAAGTTTTGTGTCAGGGTGTTTGTCTGGAGCCAATTTTGAGTTGTTCTGTATAAAGAGGAAAGATATTCAGGTGCAAACTGCTGAAGTAGAAGGTTTTTTTATTACTCCTGTCTTCTCAGCTAGACCATATGATGCCATTTTTTTGTGCTGAGAGTCGCAGCTACAAACCTCTTTTGTGTATATGAGTGGCTGTGATGCTGACATGCACTGCCCTGCCCAGGGAGCCAAAGCCCTGTAGGAGATGGGGAGTCTCTTTGGTGGCCTGGATAAGATCAAGGGATCTGCATACACCAAAATTGCTAGAATTTGTTAAGCCTAAGAATAAATCAGAGTTTGGGGATTTATATAGTTAAAGGCTCTCTGAGCCTCCTGATATTCAGCAGACTCACACTATCCTCAGCATTCCAAACACTGCATGCCAAATCTCGAGGCAAAACTGACTTTATGTCCCAGAAACAGCTGACCTTAGAAGCAAAAATGCTCTGCAATCCCTGGCTAGTGGAAGCTGCCACCACTGAGAGACAGGCTGGGAAAACTGAACATGAGCATTCCTCAGTACATTTAGAAAAATTATATGACCTCAACCTGATACTTTTTGTTCATTTGGTTTGTGCTGAATCTTTACTGAAGCTCTCTCCTTTGTAGTTGAGGATTTAAACACAGGATTATGTTGCCTAGAGGGTTTTTTCTTCCCTGATATGTAAAGTGTGACAAGTAGTCCAGTCTTTACCTCTTCCATTTATCCCTGCTTTGTATCCCAGCAGCACTGTCATAAGGAAAATGCCAGCATCTACTAGATCTGGTCAAGTATAGGTGTGAAAATAACTGCAAAAAAAAAAAAAAAAAAAAAAAGAAGAAAGGAAATACTTGTGTTACCACAACCTTGTATGTCTACAGGGAATTTTATTATGCAAGCTAAGCTTGCACAGCTGGCATAATCTCTGGGAGCATGAACAACAGTGGGATTAAAAAACCTGAACAAACTAATATTTGAGCCCAAACATCACGTTCAGAGGCTGTGAGTGACACCCAGTGGGGCTTTCTCATCCAAGGCAACCAAGCTGGAGGAGCTGTAATATTTCCTAAGCCTAAACTAGCCCCCAGACTTTAAAGCTGGCCATAGGTCTTTGCTTTTTGACCATAAATGTGGAAGCAGGCAGGTCATATTCCTGCAGCTCTGAGAAGCATCCCATACACTGTGGTTTAGAGTCAGGGCGAACAACCATGCTGGGGCTCCAGGTCGAGCTGCAGAGGCAAATTTCACCAGCATCTATTGAAGGATCTGCAAAGCCACGAGGAAATAACCTTGAATGCCAATTCCTAAGCAATGCCATTCCAAATAAAAGTCATAAATTGTAGTAGGAGGTAGAAATTCCATATAGACATTCTGCTCCAGCCTCAAGCATGGGAGAATAACACACTGTTCAGGCTGCTGAATGAGCGCTCTGTGTGCACTGAGTCATTAAAAACCTGTGGAATAGTCAACCATGGCTGCACAAAAATAAATATACAGCTGACTGTAAGTAATTCCTTCACCTGCTTTTTCTAGTAGAATTTTATAAAAATGTTTGTTAAAGGGAATGTTGTTTTTTTGTGGTTTTTTTTTTTTAACACAGAGATTTTGGTATATTTGAATTGAAACCATATGTCTGGGTTTATGCTGCTAACATACAATGTCTGACTAGTTTTAAGTTTAATACCCTGTTAAAAACAACTAAATAAAAATCTGAGTGAATGTGTTAGGATACAAAAAGGACATTTTTCAACTCCTAAAAAATAGATCTGTGAATACAAGTGAATTTTGCTATAGAAGCATGGGGTAGGGGTTATTCTTTTTATGCTACAATTGGAAAGATATGGCTGAGAGGAGATTAAACTAGTTAAATCATATGTATTTTTTTACATTTTCCATCTCATCTTACTTTTATCTGCACAGAGGATACTATTACATATATTTGAGTTTTACCTCAGGCAGGAAGGCTAATCCTCTGTGGAGACATGTTTAATAAAACTACATGCATTTGGTTATCCTAAACAGGTAGGCTCCCCCTTTAAATTCATGAGCGAAGACTTTAAAAGATTAGTGAGGAGAGGAAATTTGATGAATAACCAGTATAAACATGTCAGGATCTAGCTTTTATTCAGAAATTCATGCATGATCTTAATATATAAGATTACGTATAAATCAGAAAATACTATCCTTGCAAGGGTGGTAAAACTGGAAATTCTTTAGTGTGTTTAAATTGTTGGGGATTTGACCTGAAAAACAGACCTGGTGAAATCCAGCTTTCAGAAAATTTATGTCCTCAAGATCTTGCCTCAAATGAATACATTAGATCAAAGATCTACAAAACCTGAGAAACTGTATAAATGGATTAATCCCATTGGAGATGACATCAGCATTTCCTCACCAGACTCTTCTACACTTCTTCCAAGGCTTTTATTTAAATTCTTTACTACCTTTGCCTGAGAAGGACATGTCAGATTGTAAGCTTTCCCTACTTTGTGAGACAGGGAGAGAAGGAAAAAGAAACTTTAGGGGTTTTAAAATCTTATTTTACTCCTAACAGGTTAGATGGAAGGAGAAAGTATCTTCTATGAATAATTAGTGAACTATGTTTCTGTAACAACTGCAAAGTATGTGTTTCCACATGCAGTGTTTTCATGCTTACAGAGAACATTAAAAATAACGCAGAAAGGATTGAATCAAACCATCATGTTAAAAGCATGATATGCTGTCTCTGTAACAAGCCACATTTAGAGTAATTGGAAAATTTCTCCATGTGCTGGCCAGCAATGATGTTTTTTAAGTGTTTTCATTTCCAGTGAGGAAGTGTTATTATTTCCACTTCAGGAACCTTGCCGAAGAGATGCTAGCAATATCCCTCTTGGGGTTCAGGGTTTTTCATCAACAGGCAGAAACTCCACTACTAAAATACCAGTACATGTTTATCCTACTTCAACTCTCTTTTAACCTTTTCCCTTCTTAGGAAGCATCCAGATGCATCGCTTCACTTTATAAAAGCAAACTGAGCATAGCCTCAGTTTTCTGCTTTAAGGAAATGATATTTCCATAAAGTAAACCAGCACCCACTACAGAGAAGGGCTGTGGTAAAATCTTTCTCCGTATTTTTTTGCCGAGGCCAAGGTCATTTTGGTGTTGGCTAAAACTGAAGTAGGTTCAATATTAATTGCAAGCTCTTCTGAGACAAACAGCCTGACAGACGTTTTCCATTAGTTGTATTCACATTCAGCCTCATACCCAATCTGTCTATAGCTACTTGTGTTTTTTTAATTTGGTTTTCTGTAATGTTTATCCAAGACAGGCCAGTGCTAATGGACTCAAAGGATTCTGTGCCCAGATATAGATGTGGTTTCAGCCTGACGCTTGTGAAGGAGAAAAGGGTTATCATGACCAGGTAGCTTAAATAAGGTAACATTAAAGTTGTTTTCTCTACAAATTTGTTTTTGAGTTATCTGTTGGTCAGCTGTTCCAATTCTGAATTAAATATGCCTTTTTGAGAAATTCAAAAAATGTTTTCAAATTCAAATTTCAGTGAAACCTCAGACATTCTTCTGGTCCTGGAATACTCAGTATGGTTTGTGCTTCAGCATACTGATTCTGAATTTCTGCTGTATTGCAAAGTTATACTGAATGAATACTAAATGCCTTATAAAAGCTTCATTTCCCAAACCTTTTTTTCACTTTATAGAATTTCTGGTATGTTGTTATGGCAATTTTCCTACAAAAACTCCTGGCATTACTCCTTCATGGACTACTTCACACCTCCCCCTCACTGGATGCCATTTGAGCATTTAGCACTGCACCCTCCAATTAGAAATTACATACACATACTTTTTAGTCCTGTTTTAAAACAAGGTTTCTTTATGTAAAGGCATAGTACTGTTCATAGCAGGAAAACAGAAGCCAGTAGTCAGAAAACATTTATACTCTGAAGCCTGTGGGGCCTTTAGGACCATATAACATATTTCTGTTCTCTGAATAAACAGCCGTTTACAGCTGAAATATTCTGATGTTGCAAAGTTTACCATGATCTACAACAGAAATAGCAACTACATGTGAGCCAAAAACCAAAGATGAAGCATAGCTTGCAGAAGAAATTGTATACAACTGAAATCACCTGAAATCCAGTGCTGAGCTGTGCATTTGCCATCAGTTTATAGGCAATTTCTGGGCTGGAGGCTGATTTTGGTGCTGCATAAGCAGGTTATGCAGAGTAAATTCTGCAGTTCTTTATGTTATTCTAAACTTTGTTTAAAATGTTGTTCAGTGGAAAAACAGTGGCTTTACCACAGCAGAGTATATAATGCCAAGTATTTGTAAGACAACAGTACCAGTATGCTGCTTTATTTTTTGCTTCCTGTACTTTTTCCTCATTTATACAGAAGGAACTTTTAAATGCTTGAGCAGGCGTGGAGGATAAAATACTGAAATCAAGCAGTCTTTTGACAATGCCAGGATTTAAATGAGGGCCTTCATGGGAGCGTGCCACAAGGAAGATCTGTTTCTTGGATGCATCCCAAAAGCTCCCCATATATCTGATGTCATGCAGCAATCCCTATGGACTCCTAGCAGAAAATGCAACATCCAACAGGAAAGTGCTTGCTCATTTCCCCGGTTCTCTGCATCCCAGGTTTCTGGTACTTCTGATCAATTTCCTTCTGTCTTCCTTCAGTTTTATTGTCCTCTAAACTTCCAGCTATTGCCAGAAATTACTTTAGAAAGTTCTACACCGACTGATTTTTTTTTGTTTTTCCTTCAGCCTTTGCTGTGGTGTGCCTGCTGCTGTTAACTGTGATGAAGATTTCAGACCCTTCAACTCAAGTCTTCATAGAGAAAGGTAATTGTTACTTTCAGTACATGTCTTTCAGAAAAAAAACCAACCTGATTTTCCTTTGTACCATTTCATGGTTTCGTGGACAGCTTAAGGGTATTCATATTAGATTATATCATTGCAGTCTTGAGACTTTTGTCCTTTAGGTGTGATTTTGGAATGGATGGTGGCTACTCATTCACAGTCTTGTTCTGTCAGTGTGAGTCTTCATCTTTTCCACCATTTGATGATGTTAAAACTTAGTATTCTGTTCCTTTGTAATCCTGACCCATAATAGGTATTGCCTTATATCAGGCTGTTGTGTATCTTTCATCAAGTTCCAGTTTTTCCAAACCTATGCCCACTGAGTAACTAAGACTGCAGATCTTGAATTGCAGAATTCCTTAAAAAATAGACATTCCAAGTCTGCTTTCCATTGGGGTAAGACTATTTGGATATAAAATTTAAATTAAACCTGGATAATGTGAGCCCGATTGAAAACAGCAGTGGCAGGCAGCAGCTGTAGCCAGGAACAGCATATACTCAGTCTCTAAATGTACAAAGAGACGACACAGTCACTAAAGTTAGGGGTTTTTTTACTCTCTGTGGCACTGCTGAAAGCATAACCATGCTGACAAAGCCATAGCTGGGTGATTTACAGTCCAGTACTTCCATGAGGAGACATCAAAATGGAAGTCCACTAGAACCCAAGTATGAGCCAAACCAGCTGGCTGTCAGTTATACCAGCCTGGGTGGAAATGGATGGAGACTATGTACAATGATCGGCAAAGAACAGGAATGCAAACAAAACATTAGGTGAAACAAGAGCACCCTGGGAATAGAAATTGTTTCAAGGAGCCCCTGTTGGCTAACAGAGACCAAGGACAAATACCAAACAGCCTCAGTTGAATAAGCTTTAAACATTTTATAGAAAGCTGAAGGACTTAGTCTAATCCAACCTATTTATGTGAGTGTTTTGTGAACTTAATTACAAATTTAAAATGTTTCCAAATGAGTGGAGTGCTTCTGTTACAATAGCTTGTCTAGCTGGGCTTCGCACCAGCTGCCTAGACACTGAAAATATTTCTCATCTTGAGGTGTTTGTGATTTCAAAGGACTCCAGAACTTGCAGAGACTACCTTAAATCAATTAAGTAGATGAAGGCTTCAGTTATTGCTCTTGCTGTCTCTGGTTAGTTTTTTGTTGGTTGTCTGACTGGTTGGTTTATTTTTTGCTTTTGTCTCTTGGTGTAAATCTTATGACCATCTGAGCTTATGTGAAGTGCTGCAGTAGGCTCCGAAGTCAATACTCAGGCACACTGATATCACAGGTTACCATGGAGTATTTATTAAAGGCCACACAGAGGTGAAAGCTTGCTCTCAGTAACTTTGTGTCTTACATTAAAGGGCCTGGCCTTGTAGTTAAGTTTATCCCTGAGCTCCCAAGAACCTACCAGACACATGGGAATAGGTGCCTTCCCTCAAGGAACAGTCAGCAAAGAAGGGAGCAGCTTGTGGAGCTCAGTACACTTGAAATTAAGATGAGGAGCTGGTCTCTACAGCTGTTATTTGCTTCACATGTGCCCAGAGACAGGATAGCTTGTGGTTACAGAAGAAGCTGATGTGAGGGAAGGGGATCAAGACAGCGTTTGAATTATAGGTGTCTAAAATGAATGGCAGCGTAAGAAATTGTAGACCCAAAGGCCCCTGAGCCCCATAAGCCTTTAATCTACAATGCCCAGAATAATAGTGAAAAAAAAGCTGGTCTGGCTTATTTTCCCAACTAAATTAACTGTAAGCACCATAGTTATTTACAACATGCAGAAAGTGTCAAGATGACAGTTAAAGTACTTACTTTATAGAGGCAACATAAATATTGTTGCTTGTAAATCTCTCCCAATCCAGACTGCAGGATTTGGTATAATCTTTGCCAGGTGGTGATTTTTTTCCATGAAAGAGGAAAAATGATATGAAAGGAGTAGGTAACTTTACAGACCCTTTCTTTTTGTGATCCCACCTTGATTTAACAACTCAAAAATGGTAAAGACAGATTTCTAGAAGTCACGTGTACAGTTCAGCTGTGCCACAATTCTGCTACTAGATTCACCCAAAATACTGTTTAATGAAAACAAACGCTTCTTACAAAGTCAGCCCCATAAGATGCACTGTAATGGGGTTTTACTTGAACACATCAGACATCTTGTTTAAGAGCATATTTGTGTTTCATTTTCCCATCTTACCCTATCAAGCTTTATTGTTTTACAGTTTCTACTTGATCCTGCATCTTTTTCCCATCCAAGTTTTTTATCAATTACCAACTATGTGCCTGAGCAACTTGGAGAAGTTCTTCTGTCGCAAGTCGTGCATTTGAGGCGCTGCATAGATCAGGCTGTCAGCAAAGCCGTCGTTTCTAACGGGAAGAAGAGTGGAGGTCAGGTTTACGGAGTTTTCTGTTGAGAGCAGAGCAGTGTACGTGTCTCGCTCCCTCCCTGCCCGTGCGGCAGCCCCGGGGGCGGTGCTCGCGGGCCCTGCGGCCGCTGCCCGGGGCGGGGGTGGACCGGCCCTGTCGGGCTCGGCGCGGGGCCGCTTCCCCCTCGGCGGGGCCGCGGCTCTTAAGGGCGGCGCGGTGAGGCCGGCCCCAGAGCGCCGCCAGCCCTCCGGCCGCGCTGCAGTGCTCGGCCCGCATTGCAGCCCAGGCGAGGCCGGCAGCGGCGAGGCGGGGAGCCCCATGCGGCACGGGCGGCCCTAAGCTGCGCGCCGGCCGCAGCATGTCGCTCCCTGTGCGCTTGGCGTGGCTGCTGGGGCTCTGCAGCCTCTGCCGCGGGTACTTCGAGGGGCCACTGTACCCCGAGATGTCCAACGGGAGCCTGCACCACTACTTCGTCCCTGACGGGGACTACGAGGAGAACGACGACCCCGAGCGGTGCCAGCTGCTGTTCCGGGTGAGCGAGCAGCGGCGGTGCGGCGCGGCGGCGGCGCCGGGCGGCGGGCTCACCCTGCGCGAGGAGCTGACGGTGCTGGGCCGGCAGGTGGAGGACGCGGGCCGGGTGCTGGAGAGCATCGGCAGGAGCATCTCCTACGACCTGGACGGGGAGGAGAGCTACGGCGCCTACCTGCGCCGCGAGTCCGCCCAGATCAGCGACGCCTACTCCAGCTCGGACCGCTCGCTGAGCGAGCTGGAGGGCAAATTCCGGCAGGGCCAGGAGCAGGGCGGCCGGGAGGAGTCCCGCCTGGGCGACAGCTTCCTGGGGCTGCTGCTGCACGCCCGCGCCCTGCTCCGCGAGACCCGCCACGTCTCCAGCGGGCTGCGCGACAAGTACGACCTGCTGGCGCTGACGGTGCGCAGCCACGGCGCCCGCCTCAGCCGCCTCAAGAACGACTATCTCCGCGTCTGAGCCCCCCTCAGCCGCCTCAAGAACGACTGTCTCCGCGTCTGAGCCGCCCTCAGCCGCCTCAAGAACGACTGTCTCCGCGTCTGAGCCCCCCTCAGCCGCCTCAAGAACGACTGTCTCCGCGCCTGAGCCTCCCGGTTGCTGGGGTCACCGCCGTCCCGACCGCCCGTCCCCCGCAATGCACGGCCCTGGCGCCCGCCTGGAAGGAGCACCTCCTTGGACAAACCCTAGAATTATGAAGCTCGGAAAAGACCTCCGAGTTCATCAAGTCCAACCTTTGACTGAATACCACCACGCCTACTAAACCACAAGTGCCGCATTTGCTCGTTTTTGAAGGCTTCCAGGGACAGTAACGGAAAATACATTCTTCTTCATGGAAAAAAAAACCCTTATTTATTTTACCTTCCAAACAAATAGCACAATTGTATAAACCAGGAGGTTCGAGGTATGTTTAAGTTAATGTCCGAGGTATGTTTAAGTTAATATCCCATATTCAAAAAAGCTACCTTCTGTTATATCATTCACCTTTGGTTGCAATTGAAGTAAGCTCTCTCATGTCTGATTCCCTGTTTTTTGTTTTTTGTATCACCTGCCCTGCTGTGGCTCACCTGCCCTAAGTGTAGTTGAAGTGAGGTGCTGGCCAGCTCCTTCCAGACTCCTGTGTAGCAAATTCTTAAATTGCTTTTGTTGTTAGTCCTTCAGGGTGACAGCTCTCGCCCTCTGTTAAGTTCCTTTCTAATGCTATGTATTATATGCTCCTTAAATGTTGTTCCACTACGTAAAGCTGTGATTTTCATTTGTGTTTGGAAAGATGGGAACTATTCTGGCAGGATTGGTACTTCCAGGCTTGCTTATCTGTGACTCTAAGCTATCATAACCCTGAGAAGCAGCCAAAAATGCTTATGTCAGATCCTGAGAATGCTGGTAGAGATTTTTATAGCAAAAAGAATGAGCCCTAGCACTGGTTAGAGTTTTGGATCCCAGATTTGAGAGCCAGGAGCATGTTTCTAAAGCTGACTAAAAGGTTTTGTCTGTGCAAACACATTGACTTTTCTTGTTGGTGCCTTTTTACTTTTGCTAGCTAAGTTATTAATATAACTTCGTGGTCCTAGACAATAGCAAAAGTGTCTGGTAGGAAGGAGGGTGGGGTTTTTAGACTCGTTGCTGTTTAACTGACAATTTTGGGTAATATGGCTGTTAGGTTACAGATACTGCAGGCAGAATACCTGTTGGGATGAAAAGAGTTTATGGGTTGTTGTAATAAATATTTGAAAACAATGTTAAAATACATTTTTGTTATTAGTTTCTGAGACATTCTGTTGGATGTATCTTTTCAGCAAAACATTGGAAGTTTGTAGCCCTTGCCAAGTGAAATAACTTGCTTTTTAGTAAAAACAAATAAAAATGTACAGACCCATGAAGTAATCAAGTTTCATTAAAAGCAACAATACAAAAGGCCTTGTGGGCCAGACTTCTTTGAGTTTTTAAGCCTTTTTAAGCACCCATGGAAGAGAAGCTGATGTACTTCTGAGGTCTGTTCCTGTTAACCCTGCTCCCATTTAGTTATACTTCAGTCTGCAAGCCATTCAGTGGGTAAGTTACTCAGCATTGCAGTGGCTCAACATAAGTCAGCTTGGACTAGAGTGCTGAAGGCACCAGGAAAGTCTCATGAAGGTAGGTGCTTACAGAACCAGACAGCTCATTTTGCTGAAGGCAGTGAAATGTAGCCTACTGGCAAGATACTTCACATGTCATTTTGCATTTTTAAGTCCTCAGGATCTTTAAAGATTTGCTGGGAAAAAAAACCCAAAAAACCATTTTATTGGTTGACTGGTGGAACCACTCAATGTTATTTTTCTGTTCTCAAGTTAGAAACTTTGTGACAAGTTCTAGCTCTTAAAAATTCATTTATCGGTGATACTTTCCTTGCCATTAGAGATGGATGGCACAACAGAAGAGTGAGCCAAGTCACTGAGTCTTGTGTGCTCACTCTCTTAGCAAAACATAAGAGCATTTCTGAGCTGGACCAAGCTCCAGAAGTGCTGAGGCCAGTCTCCCCCAAAGATGTCATGCAGTTTCATTTGTGCCCAGAGGCTTCTTAAAGGAAGTTTCAGTCTGTGTTTTACCCACTTTGAGTCATTTGTTATAACATGAAGTAAATAAACATCAGCGTTTGTTATAACATCAAACTGTTTATTACAACATCAGTAAATAAACAAAAATGGCATGACAGTGCTATTTTTTAGGCATATGAGAGCAGTATTCAAATCCTAATAAAAAGCAGTAGTAGCATAAAACCGCTTCTTGAATATTCTTTAAGCAGCTTGACTGTTCTGTTTGCAGTAGCAAATGTTTGGTCAAGCTGAAACTATTCCAATGTGTGCAACATACCAAAAGAGTAAATGTTTGCAGAATGCTTACTTTGCAAAGCAGGAGATGTGTGGGTACTTACAGAATAACTCATTCGACCCAATGCCCTGTAAATTGTCATCTAATGAAACAAGGCTGTGGTACTTTATAGTCCACACTAATGTTTCATATCATACATGAATACTTGACATTCTTTTATGTTTCAGTAAAACAAAAACATTTTTCTGTTTTAAATATGGCAGAATTCTGATTTTATTTAAGTAGCATTGATTTCAGAAGGCTTTAAATGGTCCTTTCTAGGAGAAAATGAAGATATCTGAGTCTGGTCTATGTATAAGTTTAATACAAATGGTCCATTTTATGTGGATTTAAAGAAGCCAATACAAAAATCTTTTAGGAAATTTAAATCTACTAGAGTTTGATTTACATAATTTTGGCTGACTAAAGCAAACGTGTACATTAAATATATCATTTTTTGAGTCAGAGCTGATATATTAAATGTTTTTTATAGAGCTGCCTGCAAGAACTGAGTGCTTAGTGATATTCAACTGTTTAAAGTTTTAAATTCAATTTTTTTATTTAAAAACTATGAAAACTATATTGCAATACTCTTTGCAATCTTATAAATGTCTTGCTTTTGCTTTTTATCTAATAAAACTTATTTGTTTGGGAGGTACGAAGATGCCCTGGATCTGGATCTGGATCTTCATGCAGCCTATTTTAAATAGTAAAGGCCCTTTTATCATTGAAAATGTGGTAATTATCTTTAAGCAGAGAGCTTTAAAAGGATGATTGTAGCAGCAGTAATCCCCATTATGTTCTTATGTTATGTTAAAATATATTGGTACTAGATTTTTTCTTTTTCAGAATGCAGAAGTTCCAGCTAAAATTGAGGTGACAGCAGGGCTTTTTTGTAGTTTTCTAAAGATTTTCAAAACATGTATTATTTCTGAATTTATTAAAGAGTTGATGGTGCTGAAGAGCAAATGCCTTTTCTGGGGAAAAAAAAAGTGCTGCAGCTGGAACAATCATAGAGAGCTCACTTAATATTTAGGTTTTTCATCAAGGGGAGCAGGCTGCCCAGAGAAGGTGTGGATGCTCCATCCATGAAAGTTCTCAAGGCCAGGCTAGGAGGAGCTCTGAGCAGCCTGGTCTGGTAGAGGATGTCTCTGCCCATGGCAAATGGATTGGAATGAGATGATCTTTAAGGCCCCTTCCAACTCAAAGTGTTCTATGATCAGTCAGAGCAAGCCACTAAGGGACCCACCTGCACTTCTCTCCAGGTAGCTCACTTTTGAAAGCAGTGCTCTGATGTGGGCATTCTCACATCTACTGATACACAGAGAACAGAAGAAGCTCAGAGCATGCACAAAACCATTAACAAAAGCTTGAGAAGGAAATTGTGTTGCCTTGTGCCAAGTGAATGGGTGGGGATTCGGAGGGGAGTGTGCAAGCTGGATTTCAAAACTGCGATGTTCAGTTTCACAGGTTGACTTACCCGGGACCATCATCACAAAGAGAAGTTAAGGGAAACTTTCAAAACCTCAGTAAGCCTTTAAAAAACCTTATGTGTGCCAAGCTGGGGTGTATGAATTGTCTGAAGCTAAATTGTTGCTCCTATAGGTTGTCATGTACTAAGATGCAGATTGGCAAGATGTAAACCTCATAAGCAAAAAATATACCTGGCTTAGTCACTAGAAACAACCTTGTGAGCTACAGAGCTCTGGTCATAATCTTGTCTAGGAAATGTGTATTTTGTGGAGAAATTCTTTGGATGTGTCTATTACTGTTGGTGTGACTGTTTGTTTAGATGGCCTTCATGTTGCTTTACCAGTTTCTTGCTCATGCTTCTTGAATATCAATTTTGCGACTATTAAAGAAATTTTCAGGTAACGCTGAAGTGTTGTGAGTGAAGTGCATTTCACAGCCACTATTCCTGAAGTATGCCTGTGGATTCAAAGTCTGTAATTTTTCTGTCTTTTAAAATGTATTTTTACTTGCAGTTCATTGGGGAAATTGTTTTTTCATTACCTAGATCTTTTTTTGGTGAACCATTAGCAAAACATAGTTCAATTTGTGGGTCTGCATTTCATTCCTATAATATGTGAAACTGGCAAAAAAACCTGACTGTGCTTCTTTAAAAAGCTGTTATTAGAACATATGTGTAAAAAAAAAAAAAGACTAAAACTGCCTGTTTTATCTTCTTCATTGAGTTGTCATCCTGCCTACAGGATCAATTTATCACTGGAAAAGGCAGAATTTAATGACTACATCTGTAACAAGGAAAACACATGGTCTCCATAACCATTACATTTTTAATGATGTGTCTTGGACCGAGCCATTCCTCTTGAAAACTACCTTACCTTGGGGAGGTACTGCTGGCAGTCTCCAGCATGCCATTAACATTTTTTCATAAGAAAAGACAATGCCAAGAGTATCGTGTTTTCTCAGATGACAACCTTACTTTGACTGCAGACACTCCTTGTAGGTGCTTAGAAACTGTTTAGTAGTCATTGTATGTGTCTAAACTCTCTTGGAGGGTCGGGGAGGAAAGTCATTGGGGAGGGTTGGCTTAGGAAAGAGATTCATTATCCAGTGAAGCGGATAATGTGAATATTGTTAAGAGTGTGATGACAAAAAAAGATATATACTTGCGTGATATTTTCCATACATTTTTCCACTCTGCAATTTTTTCCTTGTGACAGGGAAACCATAGAGTAGTTTTAGTGTTATAATAGAAATTTACTATTATTAATGCTAATAGTTTGGTATTATATATTTGGTATATAGTGTAAATACTATTATGTACACTAAAAATTTGGATATACTCCGAACTGCAAGATGGTTTTTTTCTGTGTACTTGTTATCTCTTCTTAGTTTTGTGTTAGGTTTTAATACACGAAAATCAGTTCAGTGGACTTTTAGTTTCACAGCTGGATTTATCTAAGACCTTTTTATGCCTTTTTTGGGGTAATGATTAAGAATTATTTCTTTTACACTTTCTGTGTGGACAGTTTTTTGGTTAATGAAGAGCAGTTAATTTTTCTAAGCAGCAGACTTTGTCCTTTCTTAATATTATTTTGTTTCTAATTTACTGTAATTTATCTGAGATTTGTATTAAAGTAATGCACTTTTTACTCAGGATTCAAACAGAGGTACAACAAAATGCAAGCTAATTCATAATTCATAACTGGATCTGCATATAAATTAGGATGCTAATAAATTTGTGACTTTAAATCGTCATCTAATCTACCAGATGTAGATTACATCTGGTGTTTAAAAGCCCAGGTTCTTTTGTTCTTTCCACACACCACCACCACTCCCTCTCCCTCCCAGGAGGCTGAAGTGGTTTTCAGGCAGTGTCTCCACTGCAGAGCTGTGCAGCCATGAAGGAAGGTGGGTACACAGGGCTCTGTGCCTTCACAGGGCATATTTGCTGTTGGCTTGTGAGGTAACAGCATCAGACAAATGTTTTTGTGCAGACACTGGCACATGTGGGCACAGAGTTTGTGGTGATTGGGAGTGGAACTGTGGCTGATTCCCAGTGGCTTCAGCTGTGCAGGACAGGTGAGCAGCACTGACAGCAATGAGCCATGGAGTGCCCAGGTGTGCCAACCAGCCATACAGGGAACAGAGGGCACACAGGTGCAGTGCATGTAAGATGAAGAATATAAAAGGCTGGATTAAAGAACTAGATGGGTAGATGTCTGCAGCCTTCTGAAAAGGTATGGTGTGGCAGTGGGGGTTTCTGAAAAGGTGTGGTGTGGCAGTGGGGGTTTGAAGATGTTTAGTCTCTCCCTGCCTGTTGTGGGGGCTGAGGAATCAGCCAGCAAAGGAGTGGTTGCTCTCCCCTGGAGAGCCAAGCCTTGAATGAGGCACATCTCAGTTAGGGTGAGGAACCCTTCCCGCCCATGATCCTTCGCAGTTCTATGTTAATTGTTGTACCTCATTGGTTTTTCCCTTGTCACTCCTCCAAGTTACGTGTATCCCATTCATTACTAGTTTCTCCCCGCTCTCCAGTTCCCTATATAAACCCCTATTTTTCCCTGTGAAACTGGAGCTGCTGTCCCTGGCTCCCTTCACAGAGGGCCCTGCTCTAATAAAGGTCTCCACTCTGTGGAACGTGCCACACAGTGCTCGAGTCTCTTTTCTCTTGTCACCGCCGCTGGGCTGAGAGCTGAGAATCACTCTGCTGCTGGGATTGTGAAGACCCAAGGTCCTGTGTAGCCTAGTTCTAAACTGCAGCAAAGGAAAAATATTCTGCAGTTTAGAACTAGGCTACACAGGACCCTTGTATTCTGGTCCTGTGTAGCCTAGTTCTAAACTGCAGCAAAGGAAAAACCATCTGATAACTCCAGTAGGCCTTTGTGAGTCAAAATACTGAAGACCAGGACATTTTTTGTGCACAAATTCAGCTGGCAAGACTTTGGTCCTGGTAGCATCAATATGTTGCCCTGTGAACTTAAGAACAAAACAAGAAGATACTTAATAAATATGCAATATTTGACATTGATAAAGTCATTAAAATACATATGTAATGACTTATTGATTCAGGGAGCGTCCCCTGAATTTTTCTGAATATGCAAAAACATTAGACCAGAGCTTTTCTAATTCTAGCATCTGTACACCATCGTTCTGCAGGACAGTATGCAGCTGGGTTTAAATAAAAGAGTATATCCATAGAAAGGCTGTGAAAGGAGAGAGGAACTCTCACAGAACCCTGTTGCTAAAGTCATGTTTACAAAGCTTTTCCTTGCAGGGAGGTGGATTCCATGTTTTCTATTCCACAGTATCTACAGCAGGAATTCTGGTGTATGTACTTTCATACTTTGGATTTTGAACACGGTTAGTAGCAGCTCTGGCTTTTGGTTTGTGGAATTGGTTTTGAGGTGTCTTTCTGTGAGAGACTGAAACATTATGGCTAAGGGCTCAAGCATTGTTATGAAGGAATTTGCCCTTTATGGCAAAACTGCGCAATGAAACTGTAACCACCAAAGCCCACCCCTTCCTGAATGTGCCTTCTGGCTGGAACTTTGGACTGAGAGTTCAGCTGCCTAAGGGAACATGAGATAACAGTGACAGTACCTCAGGGCTAGGGAGAAGTAAACAAGGCTGGGGAAGAAAAGGTATCCACAAGAAAGCCAGATCCAGCATCTGTCCTGAAAATGAGCTCTGGCTGTGTCCAGGGTGGGGGAGGCCACAGACTCACCTGTTGAGGCCAGGTTTGCCCTCTCCCCAACCAAGGGGAGAGGAGGTTTCAGGGCTGTTGTACCATCTTTGGTCAGAGGGCATGGCAACGAAAGACAGCCAAGATGACAGATCATCAAATTGAAGGGATTTTTGAATAGATATGTCTGACTATACCCTCTGTCAGTAACATATTGTCAAAAATGCCTATTTTATGATTGGCTTTTTGCAAATATTGAATATTATATGTGTTATGTTAGAAGGTTATGCTGAATTAGTTTTCTTAAGTAATGTGTTAAATATGGTTTTAGGTTATAACATAATGTTAAAATAGAAACTATGTATGTGGGATATTTTTTTAAAGACAGGAATGAGGTACTTGCACCAGATAGCAGCCACAGGACACCTAAATCTTTCAGAGAAAGAGAATTTATTACTCCATTATCAGAATAAACAAACTTCTTCCTGCCTCACTCAGCCCTAAAGACGCCATTAGGATTAGGAGGAAAAAGTTGACCCTGACCAGAGAGAATCCTGTGTTTGAATGGAATTTATGCATCATGTATGATGTATGAATATGCAACAGGCTGTTGCTTTTAAGGGTTAATCCTCTGTTAACGGGTGTCCATTTTCAGGCTTATTTTGCCCAGAAAAAGGTACATGGATATCCATAACTATTTGTTTCTATTGTCTCATGTCGTCCTAATCCAAATTGTCCAAATAATTATTACTCTAATTATATTGCTATTTTTATAACCATTTTATTGTTATTAAACTGTTAACATTTTAAAAAAAAAATTTAAAAACATGTCTTTTTAAAAACTTTTTTTTTTTTTAATTGTGTTTTTCACAATATAATGAATATTCCTGTAGTCTAGGTAGTTGGAAGGGAAGGGAAGGGGGAATCGATGTAACACTGTACTTGTGCTGTTCTTGCTTCTTCAGTAATAAGCTGCTCTTGGTGATGCTTTAGGATCTCCGTGACTGAGTTCCCTCTGATGTTTTTGCTATAGGACGCAAAAGGTAGAACCCAATATACAATACAATACAATACTTTTTATAACTCTGCCATATGCTTCTCCATCACCAGCTGTTGAAAATACAGACATTTCTCATGCATTTAATCGCACTTACACTTTTTCCTCTCTTTATTCTTTAAGTAAACGGCTTGAAACTCTGAAAAACAAATGGCAACTGGTTTCAGGAGCTCCATGACTTCCCTCTGACGTCTCCCTGTGACGTTTTGGCTACAGAGTCCAGAAAGCGGAGGAGGCGGCAGCGCTGCGGAGCGGAGTCCCGGTGTCTCGGAGTCCCGGCGTCTGAGCATGAGCGCGGCCGTGCGGACGGTGCGGGCTGCGGGCGGGGGCCGCTCGGTGTGCGTGCAGTGGGAGGACGGGAGCGAGAGCAGCTACCCGAGCGTGTGGCTGCGGGACAGCTGCCAGTGCCCGCTCTGCTTCCTGCCCTCCGCCGGGGCGCGCAGGCTGCGCCTCGAGGACCTGGATGTGGACGTCGTGGCCAAGCAGGTTGCTCTGGCAGATAGCAAAAAGGTATTTGAAGCAAGCCGTCGTTCACCTTCTCGTGAAAGTTGTCAAACGATGCTTATTAATTTAAATTCGAGACAATTGCAAGTCGCACTCTAATGACAGGTTGCTTGTTTGCGCGCCTTAGCAGGTATTTGCAAAGCTTTCAGGAAGAATCGCGTTTTGGGGAATTCGGATCTTTCCACCTTCATGTGAAACTTCACTGTATGGATTTTATGCAGAGGCTGCATAAACTCAAGCTTCAGCTTTTATAATATAATAATGCTTTTCAAAATTCTGCCATATCCTTCTTCATCACTAGTTGTTGAAAATTCAGACATTTCTTGCACATTTAATCACACTTACACTTCTTCCTCTCTTAATTTTTTAAGTAAATGGCTTGAAAATATGAAAAAATAATGGTAAGACGATGAATGACTTTAATTTATAACAAAAATATCAGCTTTATTAGGAAACTTTCGATGCAAAATAACCTTTATCTTGACTGAACGCTCGAACCAAAGTTAAAGCCAATATTCAGAATTGGACTAATGTCTGTATCCCTGTCTACTTATCTACATTAACATTTCTTCCTGCAAAATAGAAGGTTATCAGGCAAGAGAGGATAGGAGCTGCCCTCCTTATGAATGTCAACCTTTCCTGATATATAAAATCCTAGCATATGATTTAGATTTTTTTAATGTTTTATTAAAAACAGTTCGTGGCTCCTTCGGCAAACTGATTTCCTTGGTTTTATACTTAAAGATATTTTAAACATATTGGAAATGCAGCAGTCAGCCCTGTGTCAGATGTGGCAGCCTCGCTGCAGGGGCAGTTTGCAGAGGCTGGCTCATGTGTGAGTAGCTCAGCCACAGGATAAGGGTCCCTGGTGAGGAATTCTGGACTCCCAAGTTGATTGTACACAAAATTAATGCCATGTAAATTCAGTATTTGATCAGGCAAATTAGGAATTGTCTGCTTCCACTTAAATTCAGAAACTGATAAAAGCACAGCATTAATACTAAAATGATACTGACAGTGTTTTACCATCATGTGAATGAGCAGAGTCATGTGAATTGGGAATTGATACCTATTCATCCACCTTAAAAATTCAGCTAGGGGTCTGTGCTGGACTGAGCTCTTTCAGTTCATGACAAGCAAAGCCATATGCTTTCTATCCATGTTTTTTTTCAGGAATTTGAAAAACTCAACACTTTTTAAAAATTTATTTGATAGAGGGAAGACTTCAAAAGTAGGAGGTGGACTTCTCTCCTAGAAAAAGGTCCTTGTCTGTCTTGTTCTTTTTCTTTTCTCACGACCTGTCAGTGTTTTGCAAGAAATTTTTGCTCTTCTGAGCTGGGGTGAGGTGCTCTCCCCAGTGATACGTGCCAGTTTTTACAATTCGCTTCTTTCTGTTAAGTGCAGCTCCCACAGTGGAAACAGTCCACACAAACCAGCAAATTAGGTCATGGGTTGAAATGAAAATTAACATTTATAAGAAGTAGCAGAATGTGAATGGTGTTTCAGTTGGGTTTTCATTACTTGTTTGCTATCATGCTTCAGGAGAAGTTTAACTCTGATATTATTGATCTAAGTATTACAACTTCTGCTGTTTCTAAGGAATTTTGTTGTTCTAGATGATGTTTTTCAAAAATTTTTTTTCTAAATTCACCTTTTCCTTTGTGTTGAAAGATCTCTATTACATGGCCTGATGAACACACAAGTGAATATGAAGCTGAGTGGTTGAAAAAACGATGCTTCTCTGAAGAAGCCAGAGCTGAAATGCGAGTAGATTTATTTTTGCCAGGTAGGAATTAAATCCATGTCTGCCATGCTTGTGACAAATGCAAGGGGTTTGACACTGACAGTCCTGGTTGAGGTGCCTGTCTGAGGACCAGGTCTACCCAGCTGAAGCTGTGGGAACAACCCTTGGTGCCCAGTGCCAGGCTGTGCATGTGTGACAGGGACCTGTGGTTATCTTTTCCCTCTTCTACCTTCCATACCTGGGAGAAGTGCAACTACTTGGGCTGCACTTACTTTCCTAAAAGCCTTCTCTTTCCAGAAAGTGTTAGTAGGTCTCATAAATGAGCCATGGACCACTAGTGGTCTGTGGCTATGCAAGTGTCTGAGTGCTATTTCAAATATTTAAATTTTTTCTAAAAAGAAAGTTTATTTGGAACTTCAAGGGAGTTACAACTGAAATATTTTTTCCCCTTTTTCATGGCCTTCTTGTTAAAAAGTAACTGTATAGCCTGGCAGTGTGTAGTGCTGAAGTTCAGGTTGTGTTTGCTTTGCTTCCCGTGCGTGTTTTAGTAGTAGACTGTCTTTTGATCACAAAGTATTTTGTTCAACTGTCTTTGTGACATTTACCCTGTACAGATCACTTACCCTTTAAAGTGGATAATTATAGAGCCACGAGGTTTGGCATGATGCATTTCATCAGTCAGAAATTTGACAGCATTTCAGACTGAGCATGGAGGTGTGAAAGCTTGGAGGATGCCTGCGATTGCTCTTGATGGTGTTCCTGTGAGATCTGCTCTTGCAGAAAGCTGTGCATCTGTGTTCAGTGTTAATACAGTATCTGTTAAAATAGGACATTACTGGTTTAAAAGATAAGAAATATCTCCATTCATTTCAATGGATGTGTAATAAACTCTTCGTAGTTCAGAATGGATCTATTTCCCCTGATAATATAAATGTTTCTACTTTACTTTTGGCAAAAATAAACGGTTGTGTTTAGTATTTTGAAGAGTTTGGCATGCTTCCAGAGTGAATATGGTGAAGATGCAGACCTCATTCAGGGAAACTAGACTTGATTTTTCAGATGGCAAGAACTTTTATTTGTGAAAATGAATGTCCTATGAAAGTTAGCAGGATGTTTTGTAGTCTTCAAAGGGATCGATGTAAATTCCTTTATTTAGTACCCATGCAAAATAATCTAGATCTCAGGTTGTGTTCATTGGCAAAGGTATTAATTACTGAGATTTCAATATTTCAGATGTAATGCTACATTTTTCACCTATTATGAAGTCTTAACTGACTGTGATTTGCCTTCACATGCATGCAACATCACATGGTTGGTCGGAAGAAATTGTGTATAAATGTTACACCAATTAACTGGCTTTATATTAGTGGTGTCATTAATCTTCCTCATGCTCCCAGACAATGATAATAATGAGCTCCCTAGCTCGTTATGATTGACACCTTCTTGCAGTTTTCCCCAGGTTTCAGTTGCAAAAAAAGGCTGTGAGTTTGCTTGCTGGCTGTTTAAGATCTGTTTTTCATTGTATATTTTGGTAAGTTTAGAACACACTTCCTTGTGGTGATGCACACTGCAAATCACATGCCCTTAAGCAGCTAACCATAGCCCAGGAGTATAATGTTACAGACAGTGCTATGAAATGCCAGCCCTGCATGCTGCTTCAACAAAGAGAAATGCAAGCTTGCCAGACTGCTGTAGTTAAAGGTTAACCTTCCTTCACTGCTGACATTCAGAGCTGTGGCTGGTTTTTTGTGGTTTTTTTTTCTTTTGCAAGGGGTTATTTGCTTTTAGTGCTGCTTTTTTTAAAAAAATATTTTTCTATCATGGTTTCTGATTCAAGAAACATAGATGTCAGACATTGTGTCAAGCCCAAAAAGAAGAGTAGGTCAGATTTTCAGTGCATGATGAAGTAACTATAAATAGCTCTATGGCAGTATGTCAAGATTTCTTTTTTAAAACATTGCCAGATCCTATCCATGCAATGTGCAAAATCAAAATCTGCTATTTGTGTATATCAAGGCTCATTTCAGCCCCACTTACAAGATGCTCCCAAAAGAACAGCCAAAGAGCCACATTCTACTTCTAGAGCTGTGGTGTCTCAAAGATACTCTTTTTTTCTTTCTGTTTACTGGAGTTCTACACAGCAGATGTCGCAGGAATGATTTACCATGTCTGTAATTCAGATGCTGGGGTTAGTAGAGGGTGCTTGTGAGAGACACAGAGTAAGCCAGTATCCAGTATCTAACTCCATTGTGTTTGCTGAGGCTCATTTTCCAGCATGCTGGTATTCCAACAATAGGATGGGGCTGGGGGGTTCAGGAGGTGGGGGTGGAAATTAGATAACATCACAATCATATTTTCATGTTGGGTGAAAGAGAAGATTCTGCAGAGCTAGTCTGTAGTGGTACCTAATATTTTTAATATTAAATTAGGTTAATGTTTAAACAGCAATTTAAAGGTTTCAAATGATGATAATTCTTTAAAATGTGATAATATGGTACTGAATGTTTACATCCAGCTCCATAAAAGTTTGAATCAGGGTGCTAACAGTATCAATGCTGTTTTCAGTTTCTCTGCTAGGTCCTGAGAGATGATAATTTTAGGAGGATGAAGTTAAAAGTAGTTTTTTACTTTAAAAGTTTGGTCATTTGAATTTATCCTGCAGTAATAACTAATAAGGGCTTAATGACAAGTTAGGCTGCCATATACATAATTTACGATACAGCAAAAATACACTTGGCTTTCAACAAACATTAAAATACATGCTGTAGGCAAAATAATTTTAGATGAAGTAATTTACTCTAGTGGTGTCTAGACTTTCTTTTATTACTCCAGAAAATTTGATCAGCATTGTCCCAAGTTGTGTAGTAAATGCTGGATAATTCCAAGTGTTGATGCATGCACACCATCTGCAGGTACTGAACAAAGGGCATCTTCTCATTTTATGCAAACTCTAATGTAGTTAGGACTAACCTGGTATGATCAAGAAATGGGATTTTTGTTTTTCCTTTCTTTCCCCCCCCCAAATTATTGTTCTGAAATTATTGAAAGAGGCATTAATTCTTTCAAAAGATTTTCATTCTTCCCGTTTTGAAAAGCACATAGATCTGGGGATTTAGTAGTCATAATATAAATTATCAATAAAGATACAAAATTATTTTATAGGACTTGTTTTTTATCCTGTATGAGTTGTTCAGTTACATTTGCAGAGGGACCTGGGCAGATTGGATAGATGGGCTGAATCCAGCAAGGTGAGGTTCATCCAAACCACAACAACCCCTACAGCACTACAGGCTGGGGACAGAGTGACAGGACAACAGCCAGGCAGAAATGGACCTGGGAATGCTGACTTGTGGCAGACTGAATGTGAGCCAGCAGTGTAGCCAGGTGGCCAAGAAAGCCAATGGCTCCTGGCCTGGATCAGGAATGGTGTGTCCAGCAGGAGCAGGGAGGTCATTGTTCCCCTGTTGGGCAGCACCTGGAGTGCTGTGTCCAATTTTGGGCCCTCACTTTAGGAAGGACGTTGAGATGTTGGAGCATGTCCAGAGAAGGGCAGCAAGGCTGGAGACGGGTTGGAACGCAAGTCCTGTGAGGAGCAGCTCAGCTGTGTCGCCTGGAGAAAAAGGGGCTCAGGGGTGACCCCATCACTCCCCACAGCTCCCTGAAAGGAGGTTGGTCCAGTGAGGGTCGGGCTCTGCTCCCAGACAACCAGCCACAGAACAAAAGCACACAGACTAAAGATGCACCAGGAAGGTTCAGGCTGGACATCAGGAAGAATTTCTTCACAGAAAGGGAGATTGGGCATTGGGATGGGTGGCCCAGGGAGGCGGTGGAGTCACTGTGCTGGAGATGTCTAAGAAAGGCTAGATGTGGCACTCGGTGCCCTGGTTTAGTTGACAAGATGGTGCCAGGTCATGGGGTGGACTTGATGATCACAAAGGTCTTTCCCAACCTAGCTGACTGTGATTTGCAAACATAAAGATTTTTAATTTGCCAACTGCAGCTGTGCTGTACAAGTGAGACCTAAGGCTGTCCAGACACTAATGACTCATCTTTATCTTTCTTACCCCTTCAGCTTTCAGAGCATATGTTCTACTACTTCTACTATAGTACAATGGAAACTGTATTTACTGCCTTAGCAGGGGGAAGAAATTGTTCTATGATGACATGATAAAACAATGAAGTGCTTGATTGGGATCCACAAGGAAATACTGCCAAAGAGTACAGTCCCTGTGCAGTCCAGTGCAGCTCCTTGATAGATTTTCAGGCTGAAGAGATTTTGTGAATAAAAATGGGTAGAAAGTTCCTGTTGTTTGGTATGTGGAAGAATAACATGCCATGGGGAGCATACAGTTTCCTAAGACTTTCAGGAAGTCTTTTTAAAAAACACTTTTAAGTGGAAGAACCTGCATACCACAAGATCTTTTTTCCATTCTCCTTTGCTTTCCTGTCCCTTTTCCAATTAATTATGGACCTGGTAATCTGTCAAATTGTAAATATTGGACAACATAGAGCATTTTCTTCTGGAGCCAAGGTGTAAATGCTGCTTCTTTTAGCATAGATCTATGACTTGTCTCTCACCTATTGCTGTTGCGCTCACCTGACTATGATGCTCTCTGGGACCAGTCAGGAGAATTCCTTCACTGTTTTTCGTACAAATATGAATTGTTTAAAAGCTGTTCATGTGTATACCATAAGTGTGAGAAATTAGACCTCAGAACTATTGCAGCTACTAGAAGGATCAAAATTGGCACTAATGTATTTAAATTAAGCTCTAAGAGCTCTTTGAAAAAACCCCACAATTACTAATATGTAAAGCATAAAGATTAAAAAGTCTGCTGGAGATCCTGTGCTAAAATTAATCATTTTCTTTGGGATAATTAGTATTAAATGGTGTGGTCACATTCATATTACCACTTGGAGCTATATGCAATGTTCCAACCTCTGGTGTATTTACCATGGTGTCATTATGGAGTACACTGGCAAATGTGAAGAGGAAAAGGCTGCTCCTGCAGTAGCTCAAAGGCCAAGCTCTTGACTGCATCAGCATGTCAGGAGGGGCTGGAAACTTGGAGCCTTTCTTCTCTGAAATTTGAGGTGGATTTACATGCATTTGTGTACCAGCTTGCACCTTTAAAAAGAAAGACAAACCTAAACCATTAAGGGTGCTGGCTACACTTGTCACTGGAAGGGAATTTATATAACAAAAGTGAAGCTTTGGGGAAAAGAGTTTATGGCTTTGCACGGCAGGATTGAACTGTATTTAATCTCTAGCTTTTTTGTTTTGTTGGTGTTTGGCAACTATTTTTGTTTGTTATTGTTTTTAAAATGCAAAGTGGTGAAGCATTAAAGAAAAAAAAAGCTCCTCAGTTTTAGTAGCTGTTTTAGGAGTATCAGTGTAGAGTTCAGTTTTGTTGACACTTTGCAATTTCCACCTTTAGCAGTACCATAGAGGTTAAATATCTCTTCAGTCAGCAGGCATATTATGGTTATAGTATTATTCCCAAATACATTTCAGAGTCTGGCAAAGGCTAAATTCCCAGAAAAATTATTTCTTTTCAAGTTAAGTGACAAGAGAAGCATTTTGAATTTAGCTTTTACCTCCCTTTGGCTCCACAGCTTGAATCTGAGGCCAGAGGACAGGCACCAGTGCTGCAGGTCTGCTTGGGTGGAGGATGGAGGGTGGTGGTTCCACAGGGCAGCTGTAGGGGTTGGCAGGTTTGTCATGCCAAAATCCAAGGCAATCCCAGCCTGCTATGCTGAGCATGTGCTGTTCTGCAGTGCTGTGACAAAGCACAGGTCTGTAACAAAAGCCAAACCCACTGGAAAACCCAACACCACAGGCCATGCTCTGCTCCAGAAGGATCATCTCATATCAGGTGAAACTTCTAGCAAGAGCAATTGGGAACTTGAACAAGAGCACACTACAGTCCATGTACCTTGGAAGCCTAGGACTCCTGGAGCTGCAGTTCAATTCTAGGTGCATGTATTTATTTTCCAAAGTGAAGAAAATATGTTGATATATTCCTTGAAATTCTACTTCTTGTTTCTGGAAAATTAGGAAAATATTTATTAGCAAGTCAGTAAGAAAACTAGGATGGAAAAGATGAAACTTAAAATGTTCTATTAGTTTTCACATAGTTATTCACCTGCTCTGTCTTTCAAAGGATATTCTTATACAACATACTTAAGTCTATTTAAGTTTCTTAACTTCTAATAGAGTAAAGTGAAAATATTCATACTTTATTTTTTCACCATCTTTCAAACATGTGAAAAGATGTATATTAAGTTAAACACAGTGGATCAGTGAGTAACTGACCATGGAGTGGTATCAAAAAGGAATTTAATGATGTGAGATTATATGTCTCCTCAAGATTTGCATTTTTTTATTTCGCAGACATGTGTTACAAAATTGAACAGCTTGTTGAATCATACTGCTGCTTCTCTGAAAATCAGGTAGACCATAAAAGATGGTCTTTGTGGATAGCTTATTCCTGGCCATATGTGTTCTGATTCTTGGACCATCTCTAAGTAGCCTTAGCCAGATGAAAGAAGAACACTACTGGTTAAAAAATATTTAAACTCTGTAGTGTCTGAGTTAATTTTTTTTTAAGAGCATATTGTATTTTGTGCTTCCTACCTATATCTAGAAAGAGGTAAAAAAGAAGCCCAAACCTGATCTTCACATTTGTTTGAACTATAGGATGTCCTTCAGTCACAAAGTAAAATTACCCAAAGTTCTCAATTCTGAAAGCTCCTTGGAATTTGTAGTTTTTATTTGTCCTGTCCACGAAGAGACGTTGGAATAAATGGAGATACAGGCGTTTCATAAGTCATGCCACCTGCATAATTTTACAAATGTTTATGTGGTCTCATTTTTTAGTGTGTGATCTCTGTGATTGATGATTGGGCAAGTTATCTGAATATTAGCTAAAACACCAAGTAAGGCAGTTATGATTTAAACAAAACAATTATTCTAGATAAAATCTTTTCATGCTTTATAATACACTCTTCTAAGAATAGCAGCTTCAGATTAAATATATAATAGCAAGGAAAAACAATTATTTTTTTACTGTAAGAATAAAAGCCCTGATTCAATATTTTAGAGAATGCTTGACTTAAACCAGTAATGTTTCAAGTTTTGCAAAAAACTAGAATCAATGCTAACTTTACGCAAAACAAAAAAAGTAAGAATGAGCATCTTTGTCCTTTTTAGCCATTCCTGTGCACTATCTTTGAATGTGTGTGTATGTTTGTGCATACAAGCCAGTAAACGGAAGAGTTTTGATACTAAAACAGCTAAGAGCTTGTTTCTCTATTTCTTCCCTTTCAGAACATCAGTACTGGGACTCAGACCTTCAACTTCCCAAAATACCTTTTGAAGAGATCATGTACAATGATGAAAGTGCATACAGGTGGTTGTGCACCCTAAAGAAAGTAGGAATTGTTCTACTGACAGGAGCTGCTACACGGCAGGGAGAATTGATTAGACTTGGCCACAGGATTGGGTTCCTGCGTCTCACATTTTATGGGTGAGTTTGTTTTATAAAATCTTTGTTTTGCCAGTGTTGTAATCACCTCTAATGCTCTTAGTCTAAGCTTGTTATATCTCTTTTGAGGATTTATATGCTAAAGCAAGGTGTATGTTTTTTTCTCTATATTTTAGAAAATTTGGCATCAAGTTCATATACTTTAAAAGATAATTGCTCTGCTGTTACAGGTAGGGTATGTAGAGAAGAGCAGAAATAACACTAACTGCAAAGAGAAGGAAAAGTGCCTAAAAACAAATGCTGTTGAATATAGGGTAACAGTGAGACAGACTTACTTATCTATGCCATGAAACAAAACCAGAAATCCCTAATTCAGTCCTGTTCTGAACAGAGGAAGTTATCTGTTCTGAAACTTTTATTTAGTCTGATTTTGAGTTATGGCTATAGGTAAGACTTAGATGATGGTATCATGGCCTACCTCACCAAGAAAATGGCCTGAGTGCCCATTTTCCTGCTTTCAACAGACCCTGCTCTGGAAAGCCATAGCCAATCCCAACAAGCAGAGTTCAGCTTCAAGGCGCACAAGCAGGCACTTGGAAATTATCTTTTTGATGCCAAGAACCAGCAAACTGAAGCTCTACCTCTGCAAATGAGCAGACAAACCATGGTGGCAACTCAGATCTTGCTGAGCTGAATCAGTAACCTCTATCTAACTAAGAAAAAGGGTTTGTAGCTAGTACTTACCATAATTTTCCTCTCCAAAACAGAAGTTCAGTTCTTGCTGGCTTCCAGTCCTGGGGTGGCTTTTACAACTGTAATAAAGTAATAACTTTGGGTCATTATTTCCCTGGTGTTTTACTGGGAGCCAAATACATGGCCTACAAAATATGAGAAATAAAAGGATAAACTTGGAGTTGGCAAGCCTGCCAAATTAAACATTACCGCAACAGAACCCTGAACTTTAAACTGTAATGTAACAGCAATGAATACAATTCTAACACATGAAAGAAAAAAGCCTTTCTTTATGTCTAGATGTCTGCTTGGTGTGACCTCCCTAAAATGTCATTACAGTAAAAAGTGGAAACATTCTCTATATCAGCCATATAACAACACCAAGAGTTTCCACTTTTTAAATTAACTTTTTTCTTTCCATTATGGAGACCCAACTGCATTAATGAAGTCTCCAGTCATACTGCTATTTGTTTCTCCAACTTCTCACCTTGTGAGACCTTGTGTTCCTCCTCTGTTCTGAAGCCTTGTCCAGTGCTTGATGTGGTGTGAAGGCCTTCCTTCAGGGCTCCAGCACTGCCATGGAAACAGCCAATCCATCAGTGTCACCTGGAGGTCCTCAGTAGCAAGAGAAGGACACGTGTCCCAAATCTCATATGTATAAGACATACACTTTTAATGAAGTGTAAGATCAAATGATTCAAATGTGTCTTCAGTTCCTAGTGCTGCACTTTGGCAGGACTAAGGAGGTGACAGTCAGCCTGGTTTTCTACTGATGAAGGCTGAACCCATGTTGCTATCTAATGCAAAAAAATTGCTACACCTGCTTGGTGCCAATCTTCCTACTCTATCAAACAGCCTGAACAATGGGCTTTGAAATCTGACCCTAATTATTAAACCACAAACCATTCCAACCCACTTTGCTCTCCTTAAGGTCCCAGAGTCCTCTAACATAACCTTACTACCTGTGCCCCCAACATGGCCAAGATGCTTCAGCTCAGATGAGACTTAGACAAAGTGAGGTTGATTTTTCCCTATTCAATGCTGAGCTCCCCATTAGCCTCTTTGACTTCAAGTCAGTAACTTGGGCTTTGACCAAAGCTCACTGTGTGGAAGGAAAGCTCCTGGAGAGCAGCTTCCCTTTCAAATCCTGACAATACAAAAGCAATGACTGCTTTTACAAAAGCTTCTGATGATTCCAAAAAATGTTACCACTCCAGGAATTTTATATATTTTATCTAAATAAGGCAGTGTTAAATTGTTTTAGAACCATCAAGTGACACCAAAGCTTATGAATTTAAAGATGGAGCAAATCTAGCTGCCTTCAGCACTAATTGCAGGAATTATAAAAAGGGGCTATTTTTTGGTTGTCAGACTGTGGAAATGTGGTTGAAATTGTCACGCTTGAGTACTGAGGTCATGTGCTGTTACTCAAGTAATGTACTGATGAATATGTGCCATACCAAATAATAAAAACTATTTCTCCTAGTCAGTTAAACACATTTGCAAATACTCAAGAGGGTTTTCCTTCTGGAAATTGTAGAAATCTAATTTTAGCATTTTTCATAATTTCTATACTAAATACCACTCCTAGAACAAAAGTATTATATGCTATATAAAAATAATTTTATCTGCATGATCTTTAACCTATTTTCTTTTTAAACTGTTATTAAGAAGTAAAAGTAGGCACACACCATCTGGAACATATTTTGTCTATAGTATTCCACAAGGGAAAATGAGTTTCACAATTTCTTTTTGGTCACTGATGTGCGTGCAATTATATCATCTCTGTATTGTAAATTACACTTTGCCAGACAAACATCTGGATCTATAACATGCATCTGCTGAGGATTGTCTTCCATCACATGAGCTTTGTATAAACAAAACCTGTGGTTCTAGGTCTCAAATTCTCCTGCATGGTGTGTCACTCAAAACACATTTTGTCTGGGCAGCAGCATGAGGCATTCATGTTATTGTCATATAGCTGTGACTTACTTTTTTCACTGCAGTTGTCAGAAAACTTTTTACTGAATTGTGCCATATTCCAAGAGATTAACTATGTAATAAAATAAACAGAGCTAGTTCTCAAAAAGGATGTCATAGAAAGGGAAGAAGTTTCAAAGTCTTTCGTCAAGACATTTTTCTCCAGAAGCAAATTTTCAGCTTACGGGAAAGATCCCCCTGTAAAGGATATTCTATATTTTCTAAGATTATGAAGCCTTAAAAATAACTTCTGGGGAAAATTACACGGCCTTTACAAGTTCTGCATTTCATTGATAATGTGCTCCATGTGGCAAAGTGAAAGGTTGATAAAAAGAAATGGGCCAGCTTCTACTCACTTATTTCTAAAGCATCATTACTAGGATGATTTCTACTGGCAGAAGCCTCTTGGTTAGTGTCTTCAGCTGGCTTTTTCCACCACTGGAAAGCCATCCTTCTTCCAGGTACTGCTCTGATGCCAGATGTCCCTTGACACACTGAAGTTTTATCTAGGACTGCTGAAATAAGCCTCTGTTGGGGTGGAGGGACACTGCTAAATCTTTATTTCCTTATAATGTTAGAATATTTTCATGTCCAAAGATGAAGTGACTGTTGTGCTGTGATTTCACAGTTTCAATGTGTCCTGTCTGGCATGCAGGTTGGATGTTCTAATTTGTTTTCTCTTTTCCCTTTCATTATAAAGACCAACTTGGCAAGTGCAAGACAAAGCAGATGCTAACAATGTAGCATACACAACTGAGAGACTCTGTTTTCACACTGATTACCCTGCTCTGCAGCATCCACCTGGGGTAAATTGAGTTTACTGGCTTTTTCATTCCACAAAAGGAGAAAGGGAAATGTTCTTGTAGTGTGAAAAATGGTTGGTGATCAGTGGCTCTGAATTTTGTCTTAAAAGAGCAATGTAAAAATATCGATATATTATACTGCAAATGCTGATCTATATACACATGGCATACAATTTATATGGTATGATATAAATTCAGCATGTCTCCCATATATCCCATAATTTTAAAATTAAATTCACAAAGTATTGAAAATATTGCCATATGAGAAAACTTTCAGGTCCTTTATATGCTGTGAGTACTGCTCTCATTATTTCACAAAAGTTAGTGTCTAAATGCTATAGTCAGATTGTGACATTTTAGGACTCATCTCTTCAGCTCAGGAGGGTAACAGAGAAAGAATGAAGATTAAGATCGTATATTCTGTTTTCTGTGAATTGGTAAAAGATAAATACTTTTTTGCCCTTTCATAACAGACAAAAAATCAGGGCCCTTCTGTAAAACTGGACAACCACAGAAAAGATGTTTTCACCCCGTTACTGTCATATCAAAGTGTAATCCACATAACTCACATCATTCCAGAGAACTGGAAAGTAGTAGGAAGAGAAAGAGGGACTCAAAGGAAAGAAGCAAGACCTCTTTGCCACTGACTCACAGGTTGCAAGCATTAGAGGATATCCCAATGGGATGGATTTATGAACACACTATTTTAATTTTCTGTCTTTGTGATACTGGTGGCAGAGTGTTGTGAGCTGCAGTAAATGAGAGCTCAGTCTGTCACTGGGAAAAAAACCAAACAACCAGAGTAAAAGAACCACAGATGTGAGAGAACTGATACTAATAAACTGTTAAATATGCAAGCCAATTATTTTTTTAAAGAGCTGTTAATTCCTTCCAGGTTCAGTTTCTTCATTGTATAAAGCAAACAGCTGCAGGAGGTGAAAGTGAAGTTGTAGATGGATTTCATGTATGCAACAAGCTGAAGAAACAAAATCCTGAGGCATATCAGATCCTGTCCTCTACTGCTGTAGACTATACTGATGTTGGGGTGGATTACTGTGATTTTGCTGTGCACTGTAAACAAAGGATTATAGAGTGAGTAGTTTCAACAACACCTAAAAAGAAAATCCCTGTTGTCATCTGGTGGATGATGTGTTGGTAAGAGAAGGTCTGCTCCTGCCACCTTGTGGGAAAACACTGGTTTAACTTGGTCTGTAGTTCTAGGTTTGGGTGGAGTTTTTTTGGTTGATTGGTTGGGATCTTTAGTCTGGTTTTTTGGGGAAATGTGTGACTTGTACTGTGCATTGTGCCACTTAGTTGGTTTTGCCACAAACAAACAAGAAGTGGTGGTAATTAGAGTTACTCCTAGGCACAAGCACCGGTGAGCAAACAGCCAAATGCCCGCCAATGTACATGTATATGTCATGCCAAGGAGAGGTCATAATTTGAAACATTTAGGTTAAGAATTATATACTATCAGAAGATGAAATGTAAATGTTCATATTCTTTCCTGATTAAAAAAAAAGTTGATGATTTATTAAAGAAAGTCTACAATTAAAGAGTGTATAATATAGATCTTTGAGCAAATTAAGTGTCTACACTTTTTCCTGGTTATCCCTTTTCCTAGTTAGTCTTAATTAGCAAAATCCAATCCAATATCAATCTGAATTTTACTATAGAAACATACTGATATTCCAGCAGGAGAATGCAGTTATTGTTTAATCATCTTGAACTGTTTCAGTAAAAACAGAATACATTCCTTTTTCTTTTCCTTTTTTTCCCCTTTTCTTTGTTTTATAGCACAGATTCTAGAGGTCAAGCAATTCGCATCAATTTTAACAATGCAACAAGAGACACAGTGTTTGATATACCAGCTGAAAAAGTGAGGCCATTTTATGCAGCTCTAAAGGAATTTAATGATTTATTGAACAGTGCAGAACACAAGTTTACTTTCAAGATGAAACCAGGTCAGTAAGTTCCTTCTCCTCACAACAATTTTTCACATGTTTTTCCTGACAATCAAAATACTTGAACACTGCTAGCACTAGTACTGGGAGGAACTTCAAGTCTTTCAATCATCTATTTTATTTCATACTGCTTTCTTGCATTCATCTCATAGATTTCTTTTGCCATTGTTACACTATAAAGAAGAAAAAAGTGGCAGGGGAGAATAGTTTACCTATAGATTAGTCAAATATATCTCTAAACTAAATACAAAACAGCATTTTATGCTACATAGGATATTAGAAATTGATGTTTCAATAGCACCATAGATTGGCAGTCCTATGTGTAATGTCTTGTGTGGCCTTAATCTCTGTTCTTTCATTCCTCAGCATTAGAATAAATATATGAATCTCTCAAGAGATATTACAAAAGTAAATTCATCTTTGTATCTGACTGCCTCATATACTATGGTACTTGTGTCTAAAATGTTTGTGAGGAAATTAATCTCTCTCCTTTGGAAACACACAATAAAATAATATGTAAGATCACATTAATGGAAAAACAAAGCGCCTTACATTACATTAGTGGCATCCATTTTGTTGATTAATGCAAATGGTGGTATGGGGAATGAGGAGAAGATAAAAAAGACTATGAGTTTATTTAATTCAAGATTTACCATAATGGAGACACACAAGGGAGAAAAATTAAATTGGTATTCTAGCGTTATTTATGCAATTTCCTAACTCTGTGTTTTGACTTTGTTCTCATGAAATTCTCTTAACAGGGATAGCATATATCTGTATAGTACAGCTTGTACTAGACTGGTCAAATAAAATGTATCCTAGTGGTTTTCACACATTTTATTTATTTCACCCCTATGGATTTGCATTCTCCTCAGGGCTTGATTTTCTCAGTATGCACTCCTCTAGCAGTCTGCTTTTTAACTCCTCATTATACAAGAAATGAAAGAGGTCTCAAAAGGGAACTGGCCTCTCTGGTTGAGAAAGTTAAAATTACTGTGTTGTTGCTGTGCATCTCCAGCTGGGCTACTTAAAATTATTGGTCACTAACTGTTGATATGAATCTGCCTCTGTGTCTTTTGAAGGAATCAACTCTAACATTCCAACTACTGACCTTTGTCTTTGGTGCAATCTCTTTACAGGAGACGTACTGACATTTGATAACTGGCGTGTGCTCCACGGTCGCCAAGGCTACCCATCCTGTCCAGAAGTGACACGTCACCTGGAAGGTGCCTATGCAGACTGGGATGTAGTATTGTCAAGGCTCCAGCTCCTTAGGAAAAGGGTCCTGAAGAGGGATTGAGCTTTCTACTAACTAGAATGAGCAAAACGTAGATTATCTAACCTCAATCACAACAGCAATATTTTAAAAAATGAGTCTTCTTTTCAGAAACTGACATCATTTTTGACAAGGGCTTGTCATAGAACCTAGGTAACAGCTTTAAACTGACAGAAGGGAAGTTTTGGTTAGATATGAGGGAGACATTCTTTACAGTGAGGGTGCTGAGGCACTGCAGCAGGTTGCTTGGAGAAACTATGGCTGCCCAGTCCCTGGAAGTGTTCAAGGCCAGGCTGGGTGGGGCTTGCAGCAACCTGGGATAGTGAAAAGTATCCTTGCTTAGTGGATGGAATGAGATGGTCTTTAAGGTCCCTTTCAACCTACACCATTCTATGAGTCTGTCATAAATATATTTTTGGTTTCTATAAGCTGAGAAACATTTTGTTCATATCATTATGTTCATATAAATTTTGTTCAAAATTTAAGATTCATCTGTGCCCTGGTCTTTGAATCTAGGAAATACATTCCTATGTCTGTAAGTTTATGTGCTTTTATAAAAGCAGTGTGCAAAGTGGCTTGAAAGATTATCACTTCACTGGACTGACTGCAGATCACAATGCCTTCCTTTGTTTCTACATATCTAACTGCCCTCCCAAAAAGGCTTGAAAGGTAAAAGGAAAATAGTATCATTAACTAAATTTTGTTATGAACGGGCACCTTTCTTTATTTTCCAGCTTGCATTCTTTATTGCATAGATCATAACTAAAATTCACTATCAAAAAAAAAAAACCCAAAAGACTGCCATGATGCCATTTTTAAATACACACCTTTCTAGGTAGGACTCTGCTGTAATACATGATGTCATTGAACAGAGGCTGTATTCTCTATATCCCCCTCTACATGTTTTCATTATCACAGCCACAAATAATTTTTCTTACACACCCAAGTCCATAAGCTCAGAAATCATAAACCCACCAAAGAATGCATCATATTAACGTTCCTCTGCATTAGGAAGATAAATCATTCTCAGTGTAGAGGTCACAAACAGGATCAGAAATCCTAATGTAGAGGCCACGTACAGACCTAAGGTCTCTACAGCAGATTTTTGAGTAAAGTCAAAAGGAGGAATGCTGATGGTGCTTGGTGGCTAGAAATTACAAAGCAGAAGTGGCTATTGACTTTTCATGTGACAGAAATTTGGCAACTAAACCCAAGTCTTTAGGAATTTTCCTCTACTCAACTGTGATTTTTATTCAGAATCCAATCTAGAAATTACTGCAGCCAAAGTAGTGGAGTTCTTTCCCTACATTCAAATGGCAAATGGAAAAAGAAAGAATTTTAAAGTACTTGTTTTCATACTCAACAACATGTCCACTGAGTTTATTTTTCACTGTTTTTATAGCTGCAGAGTTAACAGGATGCCTCTCACCATGCTGAGAGCTGGACAAAATAGTTACTCTTCCACCCCCAGATCCTTCTGTTCAACTCTGTATTTTCAAGCTGTCCCTTCCAAGTCAAATAAATCCTAGTCTCTTTTTGGAAGGGTAACACAATAGAACCACAACTACAGAATTAAATAACCAAAGAATTAAAATAAGGCCAGGTTAGATGGAGCTTTGAGCAACCTGATTTAGTGGACGGTCGTGGGGGGATAGAATGTAAGAAAATAAAGATAGTGCAAAAGGTAATCTCACCTCTGAGGATTGCAGTTAGGATTGCAGTTGTACTAATTACCAAAGATTAGGAACAAGCCTGCCCTTAACAGGCCACAGCTGTGTCCAGTGAGGATGAGTGCTATAAAAGAGTGGGTTAGGTACTTGAGAAAAGAGTTGGAGTTTGTTGGCTGTGCTGTGAAGAGAGTTGGAGTCAGTGCTGTGAGGAGCTACCCATGAGAGACCCCAAGAAGGTATGGAACTTCTGCAATATGATGACAACAGACAGTTTCCCTGCCAATGGAACTGGATGGTTTTTAAGGTCCCTTCCAACCCAGTCCACTCTATTATTCTGTGACCTAAAATCAGCTTGCAAACACTTCCATAGCTCCTGCTCATCATTTAAGAACAGATATCAGCTGAATAATCAGATAAAACTCAATTAGGCCTTTTTGTCATAGAGCTGTTTGAATGTAGTCCTCTTTATTAAATAGCGAAATGTTATTGTCCTCATTATTAAATAGCGTTTAATTAAATTTAAATAGTGTTTAATATTGTCCTCATTATTAAATATTGTCCTCTTTATTAAATAGCGAAAAGTTATGACCTCATTAAATAGTCTAACAAAATTGGGGTTTAGGGGTAATTAAATCTCTCGGTGCCTTCTTTAATAATTAATTCTGGAAACATGAGGAAAATTTTTTCTTTTTATTTTTGCAATAAAAGAGGGAAAAGCTGAGGAAAGATTAATACCTACATTCATAATGCTCTGCAATAACTGTGTTATTTTCCATATAAAAATGGAGTGAATGTTGCAATTTATAACTGTTAAGACATCTTGTGCTTTATATTAGTCATTAATAGGGAAGAGATATTTTCCACTTGTATTCTATATTTTTCTGCACACTTTAATTCAAATTTCTTTTTATTAAAAGCTTTTATGGAACTTATTGCTGGTTTGGGCTTGTATCTAATCTCACACATAACATCTTACACATGGATAAAAAGTCATTCTTGTTAGTTACAAATATTGTAACTATTATTAGACCTGGATCCATTTACATTTGTCCTGTATACTTAACATACATTTCAAATATAACTAAACCCATTGCTTTGAGCAGAATGGAGTACAAATAATGGTAAAAACTGTTCATCAGTGGAAACATGAAGTCCTGCACAAGAAAAAAAATAAAATTCCTGTAATGCCTCCATGAGCACAATATTCAATTAAACTGGAAAACGGTCAGACTACCCACACAAACTGAATGCAAATCAAAACTTATGCTTGTGCCTGAAAACCCTCTGCTCAATTTCTAGAATCCAGGTACTGTCTATATCAGAGATTTTAGCTCTGAATTCCTTTGCGTAATAGTTTAGTCGTACTGGAAAAAGAGAGTATTTCTGTAACTATCTGCAAAGTAGATCTCCTGATGACTATTGATACCTGGTTAGGTATCAATAGAGGAAGCCTAAATGTTGTTTTTTTAGTCCCTCTCTTTTCCACAAGCACACAGAAGATGACATTGCAATGGTGAAGAGAGCTCTGGCTTCTGCGGCAGCTGCAGTACACCTACACGCTGGTCACCCAGCGTGGGTACCTCAGCCTTCACAGACTGAAAGGTCTTTGCCATTTTAGAGCAGCAAGAAAAGAATCAGCTGGCAATAAGTGTTTGCAAGACAACACTGAAGAAGCTTTTGGACTTTATCCAGAGGGTGGTACAGGACGTGATTTCACTCAGCTGTTGTAATCCAGAAGTTCTAATGCTGTCTGTGTTGGCTTTGTGCTGTTTGTGATACATCAACTAAGCAGGCTGTGGTCAGCAGCTGGCTACAACCAGCACAGGTGAAGAAACAGAAAAAAATACAAACCCATTTTACTATTTAAAAATGCCTTTTCTCTTTCATCCTAGCTTTCTACTCCTCCTACTGCATTTTGTAGCAATGGATATTGTAACCAAACCCAAGGCACTGTTTTCATGTATACTTTTTAAAATCTTCCTTTCTATAACAGATTTCCAGATATTGTTTAAGGTTTACTGAAAGTAAATAGCACTTGGGCAGATCTGTACACTCACATCTCTGTAGATCACTTCAGCACAAGTTCAACTCACTTCAACAAGGGCAAATAAACATGTTCTCCCCTTCAATTTTACCCGCACGAATAGCAGAAAAGAAGGGGTTTTCCTCAAATTATGGTAAAAAGGGGATTTTTTAACCTCAATTTAAACCCTTTAAAAAGAGGGACAGCAGGGCTGCCTCCTCAATTTAAACTTTAAGATAATGAAAACTGGGGGCTACCCGCACATTATGACAACAATATTTTTCCCCTTCCCCTTAAAATAGAACGCAGGATTCCCTGAATACCTGTGATACCCCTAACACCCTGGAAAAGGCAGGTTCTCCTTCAAGTAATACACATAAAACCACAGGTGAAGGGGGATCCCCCCCCACCAGTTCAAAAACAGACAATAATGGGAAAGAACTCACTTCCCTCAAATTGAGTTTCTTTTGTCCTCATAACCTCTATTTTTCCAAGGGGCACTGGGCAGACCCAAGCTGGCACCAGTGCCGACTCAGGCTGGTTTGAGAGTGCCAAGTGGCTCCTGTAGTCTGCCATCAGGAACCTGGTCTGGTGAGGTTTGTTTCCTTGGGAAAAGGGCTGGTGTTTGGTGTTCAGGGGCTCTGGTGTTAACTGGCTGGCCATCTGCTGAGGTTCTGAAATCCAGGTCACCTCTGCTCCATCCCTGACTTCTCCCACCACCCACTGCAGCAGCATGAGGGAGCCTGAACATGGTGTTTGGGTGACACACAGACACTGCAGGCTGAGGTGTAAAGATGGGGGGCTTGACAGGTGGAGAGCTGACTCTGAGGGTTAAGGGTGCAAAGGACACAGGGTACCAGGTAGGGTTCGGGTACAGGTGCAACCCCAATGGTGGGACAGCCCCAGAACCTCCCAACAGGTGCAGGCAGTTACCCCAATGAATAGGCTGAGATGATGTTAGGAGGCCAGAGTTACAGGTAAGGGTTGAACAGTTTTTTATGGGGTTTTTTCAGGGATTTTTAAGGATATTTAAGGGGGGGAGGTTTTTGCAGGAGTTTTTTAGGAATTCTCTGGGTATGTTTAGGATACCTTTAGGGCTTTTAAAATAATTTTTTAGGGTGTTTTAAGGGCTGTCTTACTACTAATTGGAATTGGTGGTGGTGGTTTTGGGTGTTCTTGGGGCTTTTTTAGGACTACTTAAAAGTTTTTAGGGCTTTTTGAGGACTATTAAGGGATATGGAGAACTTTTTCAGGGCTAGAGTATTTCTAGAGTTTTTGAGGGAATTTTTAGGCTTTTTTAGGGTCTTTTCAGAGCATTTTAAAGATTTTAG